CAGCAGTGGGGACATTAATAGGCTGATGATGAATGTACATTCCTCGAAAGTAATATCATTCCAAGAAGCTTCAACAAACAAACACAACGTTTGTGAATTGTCAAATGCTACAATCCCGATTTTATTGATTGCGTGTGTTCTCTCCTTGTTTTCCGAATACCTCTGAATTTGAAATCCCAGGAGGAAATAATCAGTAAAATAGAAAGCATACATCTGTGTTGACAAAACACATCAGACGCTCCCAGCCATACAAATAAACATTCTTGAAACCGCCATATTCAGTTAAACGACACTAATAACTTAGCCTCTTAGTATAAAACGAAGAATGTCTCAGGCCATCATTTTCATTGATTTTTAATAGGCATACTTGAGGTTCAAATACTCATTGTTTCGGTTAAAATGTTAATAACCAACATTTTTCAATGCGAAGTATTTTTTTGCTATTTCTCAAAATGTACTTTGTGTATGGACAAAGTATTTAGAAGGAATGTCGCTCGTTACAGCTAGTTGAATTCTATTTAAAATGGTTACAGTCGATCGGCGCGCGGGTCGACGTAGTCCCACTCAATTGATCGGTTTCCAATCAGCAGATGTTAATTGAGCGATCCGATCGCAACAATAAACAAACACGACTGAGCTTCTTCGCATCTGACACGACACGATACTCGCACGTACACAATGTTTACACGATGCCGCATCGAGCCGGCGCGGGCGCGAGGATTAAATGAGTCCTTAACATTACAACTATTTTATTACGAGAGAAAATGTTACTGTTCTCCTTTGCGCTATTTGATTTTCTTATAATAAACTCTACGATATGTATATCATATATGTTTAAGTATTAACAAAAAAAAAATTGTATGTGTCAGCTCCGACGCACGACTGGAGTTTACTCCTTAAGTTCGATAGTCTAATCAGACGCAAAAGAGTTTATTTAACTTAAAAAAGATTGATACTGCATGAAAGGGTAAATTAACAAATTAATGAAAATAATATACATATATAAATATATATTTATTCATTTCATATACATTTATAATAACTAATCGACGAAATATTTTACATTAAACTTTTTACAATAGTCAATTTCAGATGTGCATAAATATATCATTAGGAATGTTGATAAATTATGTAATTACTATTATCAGACTTTTTTATTTTTTTTAAATATTAATTAAATCAACATTGTCTGCATTATTAATGACAGTGACAAGTGGTTTATGGTAACTAAAATAAGACACATGGACGTTCGTAGATACGTAGTTCACGAATCTTGAAAATACCGCATCAATGGTTGTACCATACCTCGTTGTCCCCATTGCTCTATCAGAAACAATATCTAAATTCAGTTCAGATTTAAATTTTTTTATTAATGTCAATCCGTCATCTTTGTTTGTGAAAGTTGCGCGACATAGGATACGCATCAAAAACGTAACGAGGTCATTCATCGATAGATTTTACTCCTCACATTTTTCTCATACCGGGCCCCTTATATATGCAAATCGATTCTTAAGGAGTAAACTCCAAAAACGGTTGTCGGAAACCCGAAATGTGAACCGGCTACCCTACGGTACAACGTGAACTCTTGCAGTTGCTAAAACGGTCAAGGAAATCCACCACAACTCGCGTTTTGTTACAACCAACTCGTACTTTGATGTATATTTTACACGGATTTCGATTTCAGAAGAAGGTTAAAAGGCATACCCAGGTAAAGAAAATATGGTTCATTTATTATGGGCCACCGCCTATTTACTCAAATATTTAAGGAAATAAGTCGGAACCGGAAATAAATTAAGAATCAACTTCCAAAAGTGTCTTTCCAAAAGGAAAGAAAAAAGAAGAATAGAAAAGGAATAAACTCTTCTCAGCACACTGACTACAATCTCTAGACTCTAATATTCAATTTTGGTATAAATTACTATAATAAAAAATTATAATTAGCTCAAACACTGTCAAAAAGGATAATAATATAATAATAATAATAATATTTCCAACACTCACACCAATTAGCCTAGCCCCAAAGTAAGCACTATAAGGCTTGTGTTATGGGATGCTAGGGTAACGGATAGAATACTTATGCTGTACATATATATACTTATATAAATACATATTAAACATCCATGACTGGAGGACAAATGTTCGTATTCATCACACAAACATCTACCCCCACCGGGATTCGAACCCGGGACCTCTCGAGTCGGCGACACCATGAAACCCGGCGTACAAACCACTCGGCCACGGAGGTCGTCAAATAAAAAACATTCTTATCAATAACAAATTAAAGACCTTACTACTTATTTAATAGCAACACTGATTGGGTTTAAGAAGTTGCCCAGAATCTTAGAGGCATAATGCCACTTAATCTCCATTACAATTTCCGCAACAAATCTGCTTGTTAGTACTAACTAAATGAAAAATCTGATTAATTATCAGTTCAGCACAATGGTAAATATTGTATTAGCGTGTAAATAATAGCATGAAAGAATATCCTAGAGAAAGTAATATCCCAGCGCCCGCAGTACACCTACGGTTGCCAGATTGACTGGACTTGGCTGGATTGTCCAGCTATTTCACACGTTGTCCAGTGTCCCGGTTAAAGGCAAAATGTCCAGCAAAAATGAAGCTGAAAATTAAAAACCACCAGTATTAGTGGTTTTCCACCGAGTTGGCAACACTGGCTCTGCTGCGGCCTCTTGCTATCTATGCCCGGGATTGAATTCAATAATTCGATTGAACTTTGACGAGACTTGTACTAAATTTAAATCTTTTCTAAATACATACAGATAAAGGTTCTAATTTGATAAATGCGGCTAAAGGAAATGCTAAATGAAATGCTAATATGTGGCAGAAAAAGTGATTTCATATTAATTTTGTTTCATTAAGGTTCCCTTGTTTTGTAATAGTAAAAAAATATATGATAATGCTGATTAATGTATGTGGCAAAAAAGTTATTTCATATTAATTTTGTTTAATTAAGGTTCCTCTGTTTTGGAATAATAAGATTTTTTTATAGTCATGCTGATTTTTTTTTTGTTCAACCAAAAATCCTAATGTCTAGATATTTTATGACGACCTCCGTGGCCGAGTGGTTTGTACGAAGGGTTACATGGCGTCGCCGACTCGAGAGGTCCCGGGTTCGAATCCCGGTGGGGGCAGATGTTTGTGTGATGAACACGAGCATTTGTACTCCAGTCATCGATGTTTAATATGTATTTCTATATAAATAAACTTATATATGTAAAGTATATGTATTCTATCCGTTACCCTAGTATCCCATAACACAAGCCTTATAGTGCTTATTTTGGGGCTAGGCTAATCGGTGTGAGTGTTGGAAATATTTATTTATTTATTATTTATTTATTTATAATATTGTCCAGAAATTTTGATTTCTCAATCTGGTAACCCTAAGTACACCCCTTACAAATTACTTATGAAGTACACACGCGAACAATGAATCAATAAGGTCACGCTAATTTTAGCAACCGCCTAAACTATAGCCTCAGATTATTTGATAACCATATAAAAATATTGTTACGCAATGGACTGGTGTCATGTGATCGCAAGTTTAACATGAGAATTCCTCAGGAGCATAAAACTGATGGCATTGAAATTCATTTACAACCATTGTCAGCTATCGTCTCCGAGATGGTGAAATCAGAAATCTATTTGTCAATATATTTGTCAGTCGCTATAATTACCATATAATGCATTCCATGATAAAACAATACAAAATCTTAACAACTTTTATTAGTAAGTATTTTTTTCGACCGATTGATGTCGTGAATTGTTTTAGGTCAGATGATATCAGTAGCAGTGCCTCTGGCGACGAGAATGTTTTATTTTTTCTTCCCCATTATTCATCTTTCTGGAGTGCTATTTAGTAGTAGGTTAAAAGTTCTAAACTAAATGATTACCAATTTCTCAAATATCTGTCTCTCCTCCTCCTTGTGTCGTGCTCCTCATTGCTGAGGGTCGTGACCTCCACGAATTATTTTGTGGACGATCGCTTTCCACTTATTCTGGTCTGTCCAGCGCATGGGGCTTCTTCCTCTCGGTCGCCTTCCCTGTGCTTTTCCTGTCACCAGGAGCACTTCCAGGGTATCGTTTTCCTTCCTTGCTATGTGACCGAAGAATTCGAGGATCCTACGCAAGCAGAAATTGGACAGCCTAACGGTGACTCCCACTTCTTTAAGAATTGACGCATTTGTGCGGTGGGCTGTCCACGGAACTAGTAACATTCTCCTCCAACATCACATTTCAAATGCATCAATACGAGATCTGTCCGTCTTCTTGAGGGTCCATGTTTCCGCACCATAGGTGAATATGGAGAACACCAGAGTTCTCACTAGGCAACCTTGGTCTTTTGTGAAATCGATCTGTCTGTCCAAATATCTGTAGAACATTGTTTAAATTCCCACCAAATAGGAGTAGTATTACCACCGCACTGTTCTGGCCATAGAACACAGAAAGAGGTAAGAAGGGTTCCCACAGTCATGTGTGAGCAAATGCTCATAAATTGACCAAAACTTGGTTCTGATTGCGTTTGAGCGTTGATTAGTTCGATTGTTTGATGTCACGTAATTTGATTCGCTATTATCTTTTAGGTGAAAAAGTAGGAGGGGTGAGTCGGCGACATCGGTTCCCGTACAAATGGTCTAGGATCATACTTCTAAGTGATCTGTGGTTCTGACAAGTGGATGTAGATAATAATCTATACTTTTATATAAGAAAGTAAAGTTTATGAATTGTGACGTTGTAAGGGGTAATCTTTTGCCAATAGAAAGCCACGTTATTTTTAAGTGTCATAGGCTATAATATTAGGACAAAAACTATAGCCAACACCGAAACGAAGCGAGGGTGGGCCACTAGTACACAATATATGTGTAAAACCTACATTTTTTTGATGTTTTTTATGCGACTTATCACTGCCGATGATGATAGTTATAAAACTAGTAAGTTTAAGAATATAAAGAATATTTTGGGAATGTCCTCCAAACAGTATGCACAAGAGTGTACCAAGTGCGCACGATTGGTGCCGATGCCAGCGACGGCGGCGCGGGCGCACGGTCAGGGCCGACCGCCTGGCGCCACTAGGGCTGCGAACCTTATTGATATCTTACACAATATACCAACACATTAAATGCGATATAACCACATCTTGTGGTACAACATCAAGTCTGCGAAATGAGACAGACAAACAGAAGAAGCCAAATAAAAATAAAACTCCAAAGACTTCAAGAATTAAAAGTATATTTGCGTGTGTAAATAACCCGCTTATGAGTATTTTATTATACGACAAAGAAATGAGTTTATTCTGTTTTTTTTTTTATTTTGAGCATGACATTACTTGATTTATAAATGTAAAAAAAAACACAAGAAAAAATTTTTAGACAAAGAAATAAAATTATTACAATACAACAAATATATGGCTTTCATACGTAGTTGAAGTCACACCTCAATAAAAATGTCAAATAAGACAAACAAAAGTTTTCCATCGTTGTTCACCAGTCACAACAGTCACCACAGTCACCACAGTCACCACAGTCACCACAGTCACCACAGTCACCACAGTCACCACAGTCACCACAGTCACCACAGTCACCACAGTCACCACAGTCACCACAGTCACCACAGTCACCACAGTCACCACAGTCACCACAGTCACCACAGTCACCACAATCACCACAGGCACCACAGGCACCACAGGCACCACAGGCACCACAGGCACCACAGGCACCACAGGCACCACAGGCACCACAGGCACCACAGGCACCACAGGCACCACAGGCACCACAGGCACCACAGGCACCACAGTTACCACAGTCACCACAGTCACCACAATCACCACAGTCACCACAGGCACCACAGTGTCCACAGTCACCACAATCTGTTAATAGTAGTAAATATTGGATGTGAAAGTTAACAACCCTGTCGCGTGTGAAATTACCAGCGGCCGCTGGAGTTATGTTTATTGTTACGCTTTTTATTGATATTAACAGAGCATGATTTATAAAAACTAGTATTAAATAAAATTATTTTACATTGAATTAAATAAAACTGCCGCCGACCGCCAGAGAGGTCATTAAACGCGACGCTACTTTGTATTGCAGCTCTGATTCATGTTTATCTTATTATGAAATGTCAGGGTATACTAAACGGTAGGTGTATTCTGACATCATGTGTTAGATACATTATTATTTTAATAACACAAGCCCAGGTAGTGGCCCGCGTCACTCACTAAACGGTAGGTGTATTCTGACATCATGTGTACATACATTATTTAATAACACAAGCCCAGGTAGTGGCCCCCGTCACTCACTAAAAATATCCTCATCTTAACGCAGGCCACAACAGGATCGAAATTTCAAAGGCCGCTCAAGCCATCCCCACCGTGTTGATGTGAACACAATCCCCCTACTTCGTGCCTTTACCTTACGAAACACCACAGTAAAATTTGTTTTACTTTACTGTTATTTCCCGGCGTTTCAATTCGAGTGGACACTCCACTATGCCACAACTGCCTTACTTACAAACACCATTCTTTTTACCCGGTGAAAAGATCTCCCAGGGCAGTCTTCTCAAGTCGACACAAAAAAATGCGGTCAGAAGTTAGTACAGATACAAATGATTACATAGACTCAAATGTGTTTCTTGCTCCCATATCAGCTTTATCATTATATCAAGATATTTTGAGTGGATGCAAAAAAGTTTTGATTATATTCATACTTTACATAGGACTTACGTCTTCAGGCAATGCCTCATAAAAGACATTTGTAACACATTTGCTCGTAAAGCGTCTCTTATTGCACCAATTTCAATATCATAATCTATCACATTACACACGCGTGCGGTAATGTAAAGTAAAACGCACGGCTTATTAAGTTCCGTCTAAAAACGAATGATACTTTTTTAAATCTTAGCAAAGAGATTTTATGTCAGAAGCTAGCCAACATTTTCTTAATATAATTAACTTTGGGAGATGAAATATAATATATAAACATTTAGTTCTTTAATTTCATTCATTTTGACAATAAATTACAACCATGTATCGGTAACAATTCACAAAAATATTAATTTATTTTATTAGTAACACTGGCTGTTTTTTGTTCCTTTGCCTGAAAAAAGCGTTGATGCGCGCGCATCGCTAATCTGTCAAAAAAATATTTCTATTTCTTTTCGCTGTATTGTTTTTATTTGAAAATACTGTCAAGTAGTAACGAATTTATTAATTTAAACCGCCAGAAGTCGAAAAAGGTTACGCTAAGCCTCTTGCCCGAAAAATCCACGGATAGATACTTACACTCAAGCGTATCAAACTTTCATCTTATGGAAAACAAACAAAGGTCCAATTTCCAGAAAGTACGTAAGTAGATAGTTTTATTTCCGCGCAAATGTGTTATAAAACTTCGTATGACATAATTACAGCCTCTGCCTTCTTATCAATATCGCCTCGGCTGTAATTCTCAACTTACCGCACTTATATCATAATGTACTATTACAAACCTTAAGAGGATCCTGTGTCCCGGCCAGGGTAACAAGGGATGATTTCGAAGTAAAAGACTCACAGCTGGCAATTAAAAATTACAGAAGTGACGATACCATCCCTGGAGATGTTTTTAATTTCTTTTTTGTTGGCAATAATTATGGGTTTGAACAATTAAAGTCTGATGTTCGGTCTAATCGCCTAGATGATCGTTATACTTTAGGTGGCTTTAAATGACGAAATTATCTGAATTATAACAACGATGTGAATGATAGATGATACCACAATAATTATGATTATACCATGGAAGGGTACCGAATTCAAAATAACTTAAGTGGTTATATTTTTAGCCGACTTCTAAAAACGAAGGAGCTTCTCAATTCGTGGGAATCATTTTTTATGATGTTCGCCAATTATTCGTAGAGGACGAAAACTCGACGTTTGAAATGGTATATCGTTAGTCTTGTGGTCATCAGGTTGAGATCTGATGATGATATCCTCGAGAAATCAAGGGAACTCTTAAGAAATTATAGACACATCTATAGTAATTGAAATGATTTTGAAACGAGACTGATGATGAAGTAACTAATTATTTTTTATAATATTGAATGATTATTATTTTTTTAATTCATTTTATTTTTTGTTTTATTATTTCTATTTGACATTTGTATTTTGACATATTTGTATTTGACTTTTTGTAAAAATATTGTATTTTAATTGTTTTGACTCCGTAATGTACTTTTATATAATTTGAAATATTGAATTAATTGAATGATCATTTAGTACTTTATGTATTTTCTGCTATGTTTATTATTGACGTGTAATTTATTACGAAATAAATGATTATGATTATGATGAAGTCCATAGTTGGGGCAAAATTTAACGGGCAATACCCGTTAAAAATAAGCTCAGCGTGGACAAAGTGCTTGACAAACCACAATATTATTTTATTTATTATTGAACCAATTTCTATATTATCTATGGTTAATAGAAATTGGTTACTACTATTTAGTAGAGAGTTTCATTAATAATACAATAAACTTAAATGAAAATAATACGATCATTTCTTTTTATTAGTTATCTAATGTCACATGATCGAAAACGGCTGTAATTTAAGTTAGAATCACATCATTTCAGCGAAAACGGATAGGATTGGCCGGGTCTAAGATGTCATTCGCAGACAAGGGCTGCGTTCCAAACCTACACCTCGGGTGTAACAAATGACAAATTCGATAGAAGTTTCATAGATTTATGTCAAAATTGAATCGTCAGAGTAATACGTTGCGTAGGTTCGGAACGCACCCAAGCTGTCAAAAGAAGACTGCGTTTTTTCCTTTATGACATTTGGTATTATGCTTGTTACCTCGAACACCATATTGTGCAATATATTTTTTTCGCGGCATATTTAAAAAATAGATTTATATTTTCGATTTTATTCAATTGTATAATGACTTCGAATATTATAGATCGTTTGCAAAAATGACTGGTTTGTGCTTATATTACCTTTTCTTATCGCGGTGCTAAAACTTGTTTTATAGGACATATGGATATATGTGTATACTACACATACAAAGTTATAATGATACAAAGGTTCTGGGTAGTTTAAGCTTCTTGTATTGTATAGTTTTACTTGTTAAAATCTCTGCCCATGTTAAGCCAAATTACTATCGTAGCAGTATTAGCCCCTTTTAGTATCGCCGCACACGGGCCTCACGCCACAGCCACAAACGTCGCCACTAAAGTGACAGAAGCGCGCGACAGCGGCCGACTAAGTGTCGCCGCACACGGGCCACACGCCACAGTCACAAACGCCGCCACGAGAAGCTAGAAGCGGCTACTAAAGTGGCGGCCACAGGCGTACCGAGTGTGGCGAGTCCATATAAAATGTATTTAAAAAACTGCAAGAAATATGCCGGTGGCGGCGTTTTGTATCGGCGTATTAAGTGGCCGGTGCGGCCCACAAGAAGCGAGCAACGACGATTTGTAGCGTGTGGCGGCCACAGGCGTACCGAGTGTGGCGAGTCCATATAAAATGTATTTAAAAAACTGCAAGAAATATGCCGGTGGTGGCGTTTTGTATCGGCGCATTAAGTGGTCGGTGCGGGCCACAAGAAGCGAGCAACGACGATTTGTAGCGTGTGGCGGCCACCGGCGTACCGAGTGTGGCGAGTCCACATAAAATGTATAAAAACTGGAAGAATAATAAGACGTTATGTCGCACCAAATTTTAAAATTCTAAGTTCACGGGAAATACCCTGTAGGTTTTGATACCGGTGCGAGTTTCGAAAATTTGCGGCATAAACAGCTGTATCTTTTGATTGCTTCGGCTAAGAAATTTGATTTTTTTCACAGCTCCAAGGGACAGTAGACCTGAGTATTAGATATGAATTTCAGTTTGATACCTCCACGCGTTCCTGAGAAAAACGGTCTGGACAGACGGACGGACAACGAAGTGATCTTATAAGGGTTCCGTTTGTTTTCTTTTGAGATACGGAACCCTAAAAACTTTATCATTTACATTAAGGTTATTTACATTTAAATTAAAATTAATAACATTTGGAGTCGCTGCCCGCTTACCCAAGTGATCGGCAATTGAGATGTTTTTAAGGCGCGGTTGCTATGTTTTAAATGTTAAACCTTTTACAATGGTAGGGAACCCGTCATGTACGAGTCCAACTCACATTGGCCCGCTTTTATAAATCCAGTAAGGCATTGAAAACTCCGCGATTGCGTCAAAAAGAAAAAATAAGTTGAATGCTCCTGGGACGCCTCGGAGTAGGGCTGCCATCCGTCCGGGTTTCCCCAGATTTGTCCTAGTTTACGGTGCGTCCGGGGAGCGTCCGGGCGGGGTTTCATTTGTCGTCCGGGTTTAAAAATTTCCTATTTTGGGTTGCCAATTAATCCGTCAATTTAAATGTCTTTGAAAATGAATAAATCTATTGTAACACTGTAACCATAAATGCAGACTTCCAACAAAGATTAGCTTTCCTTGGTGCTGCAAGTGTCCATGGGCAGCATTGATCACTTATTATGAGGTAGACCGCTCTTTTGCCTACATCAACAAAAAAAAGTTGATTTGTGACATTTTTAACTGTTTTTTTAATGGTCTGTCCGGGTTCTGGGCTCCAAAATCCGGGGTTATCACGCCTCTGATCCTGGTTGCTACATTTTAGAGATGGCAGCCCTACCTCGGAGTCATAATAAATAAGTTTGGATCAGTTTAATTTACATCTCGGGAGCATGACGAAGAAAAAAAAGATCGCTCAAATATACTTACTTAATGTTGATACGAAATATGAACGAAAACAAATCAAAGTACTTACCCAGATGAAAATTAATAGACGAAGAAGAGGACGAAGGAAAGATAATTCACGAATCATAACAACCGCGGATAAATCCATCATATAATCT